CACACACACACACACAGCTAGTTGAGCCCTGACCTTCTACAGCTGACATCCATCATGATATGTTGCCCTCTCTGGTTTGCCCCTTTGCAAGGTTAATGCAGTGGTCGCCGAGTATGAATTATACATGGAAAAGGGTGTGTATCTGAGAGTGTGTGTCTCTCTCTTTAACACATAGGCCCGATCGCAGCTGTTACTAAATGGAAATGATTATTGCCATGGTAACCGTACGATCACATGACCAGGAGCCAAGGCTGAGGGCTGTCTGAGATTAGCGGGATGGAGACATACAGAGAGAAGATACATCTGTTTGGAATCTTTACTATTCTTTACAGCAAATGTGTTTGTTTGTTTCCTGTTTCGTAAGCTCTGGATGGACATGAACAGTAACAGCAAGAAAGAAAGAGGTTTCTCCCCTCCTAATGGATTCTGCTGTTGTCCATCTCACTTCTATTTCCAAACAGGGCAGCCTTTCTGTGCTCCTTAGTTCACTGCATGCTTTCAGCTCATATACAATATTCATAACCGGCTACTGACCTTTACTGAGCCGAAGCCACGACAAAAACCTTACTTCTCTAAACACAAAAAAACAAGGAAGAGCTCTCCAACAGGAAATGTTCAATCTCACTTGATGAAACATATTAACATTGACGTTTCTCCAGTAGAAGAGAACAGGAATGAGGAACACGCTAAAGAATCGATATCAAGCAGAATAGTAATCATGGCTATGATCTGTGAAGGATCTTTGAAATGATCAATCGCAGTCGCGTCTCATGGGAAGCAGAGATGTTTTCTGGATCTGAGAATATGAGTGTTTAAAGACCGCAGATGATGATGGGAAATGTGTAATATCAAATCATCAGATCGGATTTTAGTTTAGTCTCAGGGATGAATGAAAGCAATTACAGAGAAACTGAAAGGACAATATTAAAACCTTTTCCCCAAACTAGATTTATTTCTATATCTGACTTTCATTAGAATTAACAAAAAGATTAATTTCTCCACTAGAAAGGAATTTGTGGCCATGTTGGCTGGTTTGGCAAAGACAAATCATGCAAAATTGAAAGTCTTAAAGTGTCCCTTGAAGGAACACTTCTATATGTTAGTGCTCGTCAATAATGCATGATTCCTCCATGCTGGTCTGGCTGCTTTCTCCCCTTTGCCAAGGATATGTAGAGAATAAGGCAGGGAAGTAAAGTCATTCCACGTCTTCCCTCGGAGGCTGAAAACTCATCTCTTCAAGAAGTACCTCGCGCCACCCCTCCTCTCCCTCCCTTCCCACTGAATCATCTCCTCTTTCTCCCACACCGTCCTCAACGCACTCTAATTTGTTCTCATTAAAAATGAAATCCCCTCTACCTCTCTTATTATCTTATTTTTAGCGCTTCATTCTTGTGTGATCATTCTCAGGTTACAGTCGAGGCGCTCTGGCTCTTAACCATGCATTTTTCTAGGTTGTCTGTGCTGGCATGTTGCAGAAATCCCAGTTCAATCTACTCATGTACTCACTGTAAGCTAGGACTAACAGGGGCTAAATTATTCAAATGTTAAATGCAAATGTTCCTGATAGAGCTCAACTGATATGGCATACTTAAAAGATTGGTAGAGATGTTTTAGGCTGAAGTTAAAAGGATAAGTCTGATATTCTCTATTTTTCTTACTCTCAACAAATCCTTTGACCAAAAAAAAAGACCAAAAGTATTAAGAGAATGACTTAAACATCACTTGCCAGATGTGGAAAAGTTGGTATGGGATAAAGTGCAATGGAAACAGCTGTAGCAAATAAATCATGAAGCATTTGACTTAATATCGCTAGAGAGAAGATTGTATGTAGATTGATTAGAAGTCTTTAACAAATACATTAAATTAACATAAATGCCACATTTCCATCATGCTTTCCACCGTTTCCATCATTTAACGGAATCTGACCGTAGAATTACTGCATTTATGTGCATTTTCTTTTGAAGATTGTATGGAAACTGAGTTACACTTGGCACTACATTTGAATGGAAACTTGATAACTGACAGCATCTTCCATTCCTCCACGGTGAAGAACACTCTCAAACCATCTGATAATGTAATGGTGAAAACAGAAGTGTTACCAACATCCACATGTATGCAGTCCACGTTGAGTTTGTTCCATGGAAGAAGTACTTATTGATGCTGATCAGTTGACCCAGCTTGGTGAAACATGTTCAATGTTACACTACAAATACACCTTTACAATAAACACAGACACACACAAGGCTCACCTCGCTGAGGTAGATGAAGAAGGAGCAGGTGGATCCATCCACGCCGTAGTTGCCATAGCAGGAGTCAGAACGCCACATCTCCTTCATCCACTGAGGAAGAGGAGGAAAAAGAGAGATTAAATATCCAAGTACAGTCTCACAGAAATCACCCCTCCACTCAGCCAAACTGTAATATCAGTAAAATATATGTGTCCACTGTGGGTTTTATCAGTGGCTGTAGAGTAATTCTACTCTGGCATTCACATTGACAGCCAAACAACTGTCATTTAGAGCTTTTTTCATTCTAATAATGGAGCTCTTTGGATGCGTACAAAAAAAGCCAGATTGAGGCTGCAATTTACCAGCGACTGTAGTGTGTGGGCACGTTGTGAGGCAGAGAGAATACATAATGCACAAAATCTAAAGCATTAGCTCGCTATCTAGCTTTCACCATCCTCGTGGAAATAATCCAGGATGTTTTCATAGCTCAGGAGGTTAGAGAAACGGGATCAAAAGCCATTGGCTTCAATCCTTGGAATCAAATGGAAAATCTGTGGTTTGAAAATAAAAGAGATAATTTTCCTTTCATCAAATACATGTGCAAGTCATCCAGTGCAACTGCTCAGCGGCCAACAGGAAAAGAGTGAGGTTGTTCTGGAGTAGCTCTCGTGTGTGGAAATAAATCAATGTGAAAATGGCATTCTTGACTAAGACGGAAGAACATGAATCTTCATTAAATTTTCCCAAATGATAAGATAGAGGAAGGAGGTGCAGCAGCATTTGGACATGGACCTTGAAAGGAAAATGTTCCTCTATCTGCTCTCTTCCCATCTGATCCCTAGCAGGCAGATTTCTGTGGCACTATTGTGAATGACATGCTGGGATGCAAAGTGAAGGGCTGTTGAGCTAAGATGTGGACTGACAGCTATCCCGCTTAGTTCATAGGCTTGAGTACATCATGCATGCTGACTTACAGTAACCTGAGGGAGCAGTGCACAGGGAAATATAAAATTGAGTTTTCATAGACGGGAGACCTGGCAGATGGGCTTGGATCAGAGTCACTTGGATGATGAAGGCATGAAGATTGCACTATATTTGTTTAAACGACAACATAAGAGCTCTATAAACTGAGAAAATGGATTTGTCAGATGTTACAAACTGTGTACCCATAATAAAAACTGCTGTGGAAAACCAGTTTAGTGATTTTTGATGCCTTTGTGAAAACAGGCTTGTGTACAGTATTTGTGTATGCGCGTGTGGGCTGGCATGTGTGAGTGTGAGTGTGTGTGTGTGCGCGTGTGTGCGTGTAGAGCAAGCTTTGGCATCGCCTGGCGCCCAGTTGGAAATGCTGACAGTATCAGTGGAGGATTGGGACTGGCTGAGCAGATGGTGTGTATGATAGGGCTCTATCAGCTCCAGGGAGACCCGCACACATGCAAAAACAGAAACACTGGACTGAAAATGTGCATACATCTGTTTATGTGTGTGTGTTATTTGTGTGTATGCACCTGTATTTGTGTGTGGGCTCACTGGAGCCCTGTTGTTTCTAAAAGTGGAATTAAACCTGTCTGATGGTAGATTTTCCCACACAGACTTTGTATGAGGCTGCATGGGAGTTTTTATTTGTACTGTGTTTTTAGCACAAGTTGATCAATGAAACCAGAGCTAGAAGGTGAGTGGTCATAAATCAGTCTGGTGATACGCTGGATTAGTAATTAGGTAATTATTTGCCAACAGGTGTGAAGACTGCCACTACTGATAATTTCTAGTATTTCTTTTAGGAGAAAGAATAAATACAAGACAAATGAAAGATTCCCTGTTGAGTTTTCGTGGTAATAAACAAAATCACTATACTGGTTTCCAAAGATAGCATTTGTACTTCAGTTAATAGTCAAATAGTGTGGGTGTGAGGGTACAATTTCTCTTCATGTAGTCTGAATCTTTCTAGGTAGTGCTCTTTTTCTTGCTCAGGTTACCTACCTAGTTCTCCCTTTACTTATTTCAAACTGAGCTGTTCTAATCACAGATATGAAAACAGTGTGAACGACACACGCACAGATAGAAAGACTTTCTTTATGTGTGTTTGTACAGTATGTGTGATTCACACCCTTGACTTTGCCCCCTCAGCTAGCCTGTAGGGAAACCTTCAAAGCGGCGCAGCTCACACTTCTCCTGGGCTCCATTTAGGAGGTCTGGAGGAAGGACAGAGACAAGAGAGAGAGAGAGAAAGAGAGAGAGAGAGAGAGAGAGAGACACCAGACAGACAGACAGAGAGAGACAGAGAGATGGAGACAGAGAGAGAAAATCAATAAGGTTAAGTCAGTCGGCTTCAAAATTCTTTAACTGTCTGTAGCTTTAACAGGATGTATGATCTTCACACTGGAGGTGAGGCAGATGCAAACACACATTTTCACATTTCTGCTCTGCACAAAAAGCCTTTCCCTTCAGAGGTTTGAATAGGCAGGAAAAACAATCTGTGTGTTTGTCTGTATGGAGGTGGAGAAAGGAGTTCAGTGAGTGGCTCTCTAAATATTATATATGTGACTTTCAGACAATTTAGAGTCATTTAGAAGGTTAGCGTTAGACAAGACATTCAGTAGGTGTGTGGGTAACTACAAGCAGCTCTGTGCGTGTGTGTTGGAGGATCTTTCAATCATGAACTGCAGCCACTACAGCTGTGTCACACATTTATCCTTCCAGCCGCAACCATGTTCCCAAGATTTCTTGATTCCCGTTGTTGACTAATTCACTGCTTTCATGATTAACTAAAGTTATAACCCTTAACATTTGTATAGCCATGAAATACATTTACATTCTGCAATTACCTCTCTATATACGAGTTTTTATTGTTAGTGGCGGAGTCCGGCCTTTACACAAGTGGTTCAAATTTCCTCCTCCATTCACAAGAAACATTAAAAGCTTTTGTTGTGAAGCAGTCACAGGAAATCCATTGTATTTGTCAGCGAGGTTAGTGCTGACAGTGACCGTTCATTTTTGGGCAGCAAAGCATTTTTAAGTATAGCAGGGAATAATGGAACAAGAATGAGCAGCCGCAGTGAGCTGGGAGACAAAGAGCTGGATTGTTCACACTAGTTAAATCAACACCTTGTTTTGACGTTGATGTCCAATTGATCGGGATTTTTTAAAAAGTCCAGATTTCTCCTGCCCTTTTCAGTGTTATCACAGCTCAATAGATTTCTTTAGAACAGATAGGAACCTCCAAACATACGGAGTGGCGGCCTGCCAAAGTAGCTTGTACATAAGCAGCTCGTAGAAGAAATTGCCTCCCCTGGCCAAGACATAGGGTCATTTGGCTGTTCGATGGTGTCAATTCTCCGTCCGGCTCAATAGACAGATACACCAGCAGAGAGATGACATGGCATTTTAATACTGTTTTTCTAAAACAAAGGTGACAGCATCTGTTTGATGACTCAACACTTTCTTTCTCGTGGTAGTGATTTAAAAGTGAGAACTTCCTTATGTGTCTCCTCTTGTGAAATAACACAAAGAGGCTTAACAAAGGTGTCAGATAGAACAGAGCAACATAGAATAGGATACTGTACAAGAAGAAACCCAATATGCAAACCAGCTGACAACCAACATGGCTATGTGGAGAGGCTAATGAGCGTGTGCCACAATGTTCATCTAATGGCTACAAAATATCAACAAAGATATTAAAATTGTAGTGTAGGTCAGATTGCCACATCCTTGTTGTTTCAAGCAATGCTAACAGTGTGGCTCTAGGGATTGCAATGTTGGTCAGTCAGTCCACCACCTCCCTTCTGGACTGAAATATCTCACTACTGTAACTATTGGATGCATTTCCATAAAGCTGCCCAGAGTATGAATCCTACTGACTATAGTGATCCCTGACCTTTAATGTGCTGCCAGCAGAGATACTCAAATATAAAAATATCCCAGCATCTACTTGATGTACTTTTATAAACACTGTACATACACTAATGACTTTGATGATCAGTGCCAATTACAGTAGCAAATGTTAACAAGCTAATCAAAGATTTTAGGTTATGATTATATCTGGTAACCTAACCTTTAGCATGTCATCATGTCTGTCATTGTGAGTTTGTTAGCATGCTGACATTAGCATTTAGCTCAAAGCACCACTGTGGATAAGCACAGCCTCACAGGCGATGCAATCTCAGCACTTCGGGCCGGTTGCATCTTTGTGAGTCTTGAAACCACAGCTGGAGACTGCCCATTACTCTGTGGTCAGGGATGACGGTCAGCCAACAGGATCACCTATGGCTTGGGAACCTGAACTCCATAACAGCGGAAACCACAGAGAGCTAAGAGCTGGGTCAGTCAAGTCCACAATGACGCAAACGCAGGTTGAGAAGCATCTAAGACAGTTGGTTTTCTACAATAAACATAACGCATGCAACTGCCGTGAGACAGGGAGGGTCACATATCTTTTCCACATTGCTTTTAATATCACCACAGGAATATCATCCATGGCTTGCACACAGGGTTCCCTTCCATATAATCACCTTTTTGATATCCCCATTCAGAGACGTTAACGTCATCACCACTGACCTTTATAGCCAGAATATAAATAACGCATTACGGTAGACTGTGAGGTGAATAGATAAAAGCTTAGAGGCAAACACCAGACTGATGTGATGAGTTTGTTGGTGGTGTTTTAGGAGGAGGGTGTGTATTTATGGAGGTGTGTGTATGAAGCTAATCAGCGGCTCCAGCACTGGGTCAGGCTGACGGGTGGGTGGGGGTGGAGGGTGGAGCAAAGACGGCTACATGATGTTCACTGTTGATTCACTTTATTTTCACCAACAAGCTGATGCAGTTAACAGATATTCTACTGGTAAACTCTTTTTTTTCTCCCTCCCTCTTCCTGTGCAGCTTCTATCACCTCGGTTATTGTGAAAAACTTTTTTCACTGACTGGCTTGCTCCCTCAGCAGTGTGTACCAGGGAAGAATGAGAGATTTAAAAAAAAAAAGTGGTGATGACGTGCCACAGAGTACTGCATCTAAACACATCACCAGTTAGATGGAAAGCCACCAACAATTTTCCATCCCTGGCTTCAGTCACCGCCTAGGGAAGGAAAGGAGGGGATATGGAGTCTATGTATGGTTGTATAAGGATTGAGCCACAGCTTATCATTGGGAGAATAAACCCCATAAAACATAAATGTCATCTTTAGTCAATTCAATTTAGGGAGGTTAGCCAATCTATAATAAACAGTTGGCTGTTATCTAATAAATGTATTGCAAGCAGGTGTAGGTCTCACCACAGTTTGTTACAGAATTAAATGCCACTCATCTGCATTATAGTGATATTTAAAACTATTGTGTGGATTGTGTATTTTTGCTGTTGAGGTGTCGTTCTGTCAATAAACAAGGATTGCACGTATCTAAAACTGTGCTCATGTACACATAATTGTAATCATAATACTACTCCCCTATTTGGTCTTTAGAATAGTGGTATCTGTGTGTCTCTACAACAATCAACCAGCGGTAGCTTCCTGCACACCGGTTTATACAGACCTACACGTTACCTGCCAGATACTGTTAAGCACATCATACAAGTATCTTAATCACCTTAATCAGGATCTGAGGAACAATCACAGCTGAGCAGCGGCTCTTAATGTCAGTCTCTAAAACAATGATTAAATAATGTAACAAATATAACTACTACCTTTTAGCTCAGCAGGCACAGAGGGGACTGAGAGCTGTTAATGGGGGAAATTTACATGATATCTGATTTGAATACTTTGTTACTGTAGTCAATGTATAATCATTTCCATCTGTAAAAAAGAAGAAATGTAGGAAAGAGGAAGTACTCACACTCTGATTTTTATCAAACAGATAGAAAGTACATTAGACATCAACGCTGTTTGCTTTCCATATAAGTAATAAGCCAACTAGTAACACCTATTTTGAACTGCTGGGCTTGACAACGTGAACACTGTGTGTGAATGTGAAAAATTTGGTTGCATGCATCTGTGATTGCATCTGTTATGACACCCCGGTTGTCAAAATTTGCTAAGCTCTGATGGTGAAAACTCTGTTATCACTCACCAGCCCTTGTCATTAGTAAAGAGAGGCAAAATAGGAAGCAGCTACACTTTTCTTAGCTTGTGCTCATATTCAATCACAGATATTTAATCCGATCACATTTAAGTATCGGATCGGACTCCGTACTGGAGCCACAAAGTTAACACTGAGCTGTAAACATGTGACATGTGGTGTGCATATACACGCAATTTACTCCATTACAAATACAGAAATTACGCATCATACGTGTGGCCCTTGTCTAGTACTTTCACAGTCACGTCCATTCACACATACTCGAGCTCTGCGTGTCCCTTCTAGTTCATTTTGTCATTTGTTTTTATCGCCCTTGTGCCCTCCATCTTTCTGTAAATCACACTGTGGCGATTTCATTTATTGAAAGTGCTGCCTAAAGAAACCTGACTTGTGATTTGTTGTTTAGTAAAGTGGCTGTCTTGTGCAGCATGCAAGAGCCACAAAGCGCAGTGTGAGTCGCTGTTTTCTCATCCTTCAGACGCCCAGTCATCCAGTCAGTCCGCCAACCGACCAACCAACCAACCAACCGGGCAGCCTGTCATTCACACTGTCATTCAGCCAGTCAGCCAGCGAGCGCCAAAGCCACCAGGCAAATCTTCTCCGAGCTTTAATCAAGCAGAAGAAGCTGCTGCCAAGGAGCAGCTAAATATAGCCCCCTTCATAATCAAACACAGCAGAGGTGGTGCTGTTTCAAAGAGAGCTGGATTCCTTGTCCTTCATCTCAATGGACATCAATTCAGCCAAACTCTTCACCTGCCTCTTTCACTTCATATCCATTTTCATTCAGTTTAGACAAAGTAACTTGTCCAATCACTGGCTGCTACGTATTCAAGCTGAGCAACACATGGTTAGACTAACACACCCTGACAGAGCGTCAAGGAGCATTAGCAGAGTCTACACAGACCAGGAAAATGCACAGGCAAACACAAGCACACCAAGGCAGCTGTACATTTGCTATCAGACATACCATGTGACACTCACATATGGTGTGACTGACGCGCAAACAATGATAAGTCTAGCATCAAACGCACCTCTGTCAAGCAAACACAGGAGCAAAGACACCATGTTAGCGAAAGACAAACAGTACCATGGAGCTAAAATGACAAACATCTTCAAACAGCACTC